CTGCGTCTGCTCTCTCTCGCTTTCATTCGCCGCGGCGCATCGTCTCTCTCTCTTCGCTTTTCTTTCGCCCACGCGCCTCTCTCTCTTTGGACCGTCTCCTTATTCTTTCTCACCCTCACCCTCTCTCGCTTTCCCGCTCCCTCGCCCTTGACAATGTCTGCTCTGCTCTCCGGTTTCCTAGCGATTTCATTGAACGCCAGTGAACTCTAAACTCTCGAATGTTACCAAAAAGTGAATCCGAGTTGATCTATTTGTCCCTGTTCTTAACCCGCGCGTCAAGCGGCCGAATCGCACCTCCCACTCTTCCCCTGCGCCACTCTCTCCTCCCTATCCGCTTCCTTCATTTCCTCCAGCCTCCTCCGGTCGGTGTTTTTACTAGCACTTATTGCGGCAATCATTGCCGCTCGTTATTAAAACAGCGCATAGCAGCCAGCCATCGGCTCTGAGCCATGTGTAACTGTCGGGCTCGCATCACAATTTTCAGCGACAAGAAGTAGAAGCTGCTAATGCACGACCGGTTCTTCTCCCCGGTCAAGCGCTCATCGGACAAATCACGGGGCTTCGCTTGAAACCCCGTGTAATCACTGGGCCAGCATCCTCCAAGAGCTAGCAGCTTCCCCGCAGCGCAGTAGCATCAGCAGCAGTAGCGCACGTAACCAAGCAGCACCACACCACCACCAACATCATCAATCATCTATATCATCATCGTCATCACCAATCACCAGCAGCAGCATCTTCCAATCACCCAGCTTCTCCGCGGATCCGTGTTTAGAATTCCGCCGCTGTCCCCCCGCTGTGCCGCTGTCCGGTTCATATGTTGCAGCAGGCTGCACGCCCAGACCGAGGCGGAGCGAAACGGATAAGAAGCGCGACACCGGCCGCAGATGCAGTGTGGGCCGGCACGCAGAAAGAGAGAGAGACGGAGAGAGAGATGCAACTCTGAGACGTGAGAGATGAGCATTGAGAGAGAGAGAGCAGAGAATGGTGGAGAGGGGAGAGGATGAGAGAGAGGAGAGAGATGACGAGAGAGAGGAGAGAGACGAGAAGAGAGAGGAGTATGAGAGAGAGAGAGATGTGAGAGGGGAGCAGATGAAAGGAGAGAGAGATGGAGAGAACGAGAGTGTCCTGAGAGAGAGAGAGAGGAGGAGAGGAGAGAGATTAGAGAGATTGGAAGAGCAAAACGAGCGCAGTGAGGAAGAGAGAGATAGAGGGCTAGAGAAGGGAAAGTGAGAAAGAGAGTAAGGAGGGAGACAGAGATGAATGGATTAGAAGAGGACTGATTAAACGCGTAGCGAATCTCTTCAGCATCATCACATTGGAGAAAGCTGTCGACCCACTCACTCACTCACTCACTCACTCACCTCACTCACTCACCACACTGGACTCACCCCACTCACTCACACACTCACTCACCCACTCACCTCACTAGACGCTGTGCCTGCCCATGTGTAAACAGATCGACGACTAGAGTCCGTACTAATACTATCTACACGCATGCTGCACGCTGGCCAACAATATTTAAGCAAACATCATCTAATGGAGCGCCGCGCGCGTTGACTTAAATGACGTATCAGTGTCACGTGCGTGCATCCCTCTCCTCTTCGTTCCGCATCTTAGTTAGCGCCTCGCAGCATCCTCGCTGTCGGCAACAGTGTCTTTCTTACCACGCGTGTGCTGCCCTCCCTCCCTCGCTGCTCTCACCGGCGGAGCCAGTGAGTCTCGCCTAACCCTTCGTAGTTTGTGTCGCGAGCAAAAGCCAACAAACATGCGCAGAAACCCGTTCGGTTCCTCCGGAAACGCGCGCGCGCCCCCGCCCTCGCCCCCTGTTATGCTACGCGCGCGCGGACCGACCCCTACCCCTGCCTTCCTCTCCACCTCTTTCTCTCCGCGCGCGCGCTCTCTCTCTCTCATCTCTCGCCTCTCTTCTGGAGCGCCTCTATCTCTCTCTTGGTCTATCTCTCTCTCTCTCTCTCTCTCTCTCTCTCTCATCTCTCTCTCTCTTCTTTCTCTATCTATCTATCTATCTATCTATCTATCTATCTATCTATCTATCGAGCTCTCGCTATCTCTCTCGCGATCCCTTTCTCTTAATCTCTCTCTTTTCTTTTCTTTTCTCTCTCTCTCTCTCTATCTCTCTTTTCTAACCCCGTATTCCCTACTGCCGCCGCCGCCGCTGCTATGGGCCCTACTGGCGGTGGTGGTGGTGGCGGTGGCAGCTTTCGCGCCGCTGATCAAAGCACGCTGGTTTATTTACGCAGCCGAACATTGCCGCGTCCAGTTTCCTCTTCCTAGGGAAGCCCCAGCCCAAACATCCCCGCTGCTGCTGCAGCATCCGTCACGGCAGCAGCATCATCAACTCTAGCCGCATCGGAGGCTGCGGCGGCGGTCACCATCGCAACACTATCAGTGGTTTTAGAATGATCCACGGTATGCAGGCCATGGTGAGGTCAACCATCCATGCTATCCCATGTAGATGCTATGCCTCATGCCATGCCCTATGCGATGTAGAAGTAATGTTGAACGAATGGTGGGTGGCATGGTGGGGGAGTAGAATGAGCCATACCATACTATGCCATGAAACGCCATGCCATGCCACGCCACGCAATGTAGAAGCAAGCCATGGTAAAAGCATGTTGGTGGCATGGTATGGGAGTTGAATGAGCCATGTCATACCATGCCACGAAACGCTATGCCATGCCGCACCACGCGATGTGCACGCCGTGGTGAGTGAATGGTAGTGACATCGTACTGGCAGCAGCGTCTGGCTCAAACCGCTCCATTCACCGATACCGATACCGCTACCGATACCACGTGAATGCTCACGCGCCGACGTCTGTGCCGACTCTCGGAGCTCGGGGGAGGGGAGGGCGGCCTATTCTCCCTACGGCCCGCTGCAGGGGACATAGAGTACTTACCACTCACAGCTAACGACCTCCGTGACCTGAGAATCGCCTGCTAACACACAGAGAGAGCGCGCGCGAATGCTGGCTGGCGTCTACGCTCTCTCAAGTTCTCAACCCACATGGAAAGAATAAGTGGCAGGCGAGATCCTTAGTGTCAAATTCATAAGAAGCCTCGGTCAGGCACGCTCCCGCCCGCAATGGAATGCTCCGTGGGGGGAAATTGACTGACAAGTCTAAGACCCTCTCTGACCCGCACCTCTAATACTGGCACTCTTCAGGCGTCTGCGACTCCGTGGGGTTACACGGAGACTACGCGCGGTCGTCGCGCGCGCGGCGGGGACGCGGTCTCCGGCCCGACCCCGCGGTCAGCTCTGCCAGCAGAGACCCTAGAAAGAGGAACCCGCCGATGGGGGGGGGAGTAATTCTCTCTCCCGGAGACGCCCGCCTTTTTTGCGGGCGCAGTGAAAAGACGCTTAATTTCTTGCCCTCCCCTCCCTCCGGTGGTGAAACGACCGTAATAAGATGTGCATTGTGGGGAGCGTCCGTTGTTTCGGCGCCACTCTCTCTCTCTCTCTCTCTCTCTCTCTCTCTCTCTCTCTGCGGCTCGCTCTCGTGTGGGTAATGGCCGGGGGTTTTCACTCGGAGAAGCATTATGTCTCCCGGTGGATATAATGGCGGGAAATTGTCGCGCGAACACGGGGCGGATAAGTGCTCCTCCCGACAATTGCCGGGGATTGCGAGGCAGGGAGGGGGAGGGAGAGAGGAGGGGGGGACTGGAGAGGAGAGGGGAGTAGGCAGGAGAGAGGCGTGGCGGGGACGCTCCGGCTGTGGTTTGCTAACACTCCGTCCTAACTGCGATAATCATTGCTGCTGCGTGCGTGACGTGTTGCGTCGGCGTGCGTGCTGTGCGTGCGTGCGTGCGTGCGTGCGTTGCGTGGGAGCATTGAGAGCGCGATATCGTCTGGACGTCGAGCTCTCGGTTCTCGTAGCCTCACTTTCATGCTAGCCCCCGTCTGTTCTCTCTCTCACTTCTCTCACCTCTCTCTTCTCTTCTCTCTCTCTCCTCTCTCTCTCTCTCTCTCTCCTCTCTCATTCTCTCTCTTTCGCTTCCTCTCGTCCTCTCTCTCTCGATCTCTCTCGATCCTCCTCTCTCTTTGTTTTCTCTCTCTTCCTCTCGTCTCTCTCTCTCTCTCTCTCTCTCTTTCGCTCCCTCTTTCTCTCTCTATCTATCTCGATCTTTCATGAGAGATAATAGCCGAAGCAGAATAAACACAGTAGCGCAACCGTTTTCAAACATGCAGTTTTTGTGCGACGTATAAACAAATCGTTTAAATTGATAAGCTGATAATTCCACTTGTAAATCATTCGCGTAACTGTGCCAGCAAGAAAGCTGGCCAATTAATAAACTGCCGTCAGAAAGCAAATATAGGCTGACGGGAATATGAAGAAGCAGTAGCGGTTACGACAATAGTCTTACAACTTATATCTTGAGAATGCTTAGAGTATGGGGGGGGGGAAATAACGCGTAAGAGTGTAGGAAACATCGGATCATTGGAAGAGTTGGAAGAATTGCAGAGTTGTAAGATTGGTTTTATTCCCGGTTGGCCTACTCCCATTTCGCCTACGGCAAAATTTCAATTTCGCCTACAGCAAAATTCCCAGTTGGCCTACACGCACGCTTGTATATCTACATGTACAACTGGGCTGCTGGGATGTTACCATAAGATTGGTGGTAGGCGGAAGCGATAAATATGTAGAGAGGAATAAACAGTAACTGGGAGAGTGACAAGAAATAGATTGAGACGGGGCAATGTGCCCGTTGCAAGGAACGCGATGTGAATAACTGTGCATGTTATACGTTTAGTGCATATATATATATATATATCAAGAGTCCATAATAGAGATCTCTATTATAGACTCTTGATATATATCCATATATATATATATATATATATATATATCTGCATATTTTAGTTGAGTACACACCGTTTGTCACGTATGCATTGACGTGTGATTGATCAAACAGTACTCGCTGTGCTCAGGAAAATTAGACAGTTGAGTGTGTGAGTATGCATAATCGCGTAAAGAAAACAAAACGAAGAATTTCTAAATAGGTCGCGGTCGTATCCATCTCGAATGCTTCTCCATCCTCGTAGAAATCTCCTATTGGTATGGCCGAACCCGGCTTCCAGTTCGATGTCTGTCAGCATCTCATTCCCAATGAATGACACTGGTTGCCGGGACTCGGGTATGCACAGTCTGCCGGAGAAAACACAATACAATAGAATATAATACAAAACAATAAATACAATACGATACGATACAGTACAGTACAATACAATAGGGGGGAGGCCTACGACTACAATGCAAATAATCAACAGCAATACAACGGCAACACAGCACAACACAATACAGATTACAAATACAACACAAGACAATACAATACAATACAATACAATACAATACAATACAATACAATACAATACAATACAATACAATACAATACGAATACAATACAATACAATACAATACAATACAATACAATACAATACAATACAATGGCAAACATCTAGTCCAGTCTACGCGGGAAAGAAATGCACTGATAAAAGTTAACTGCTAACCGAATTGCAGTAAAATTAATTAATACAGGCCGCCATCAGAAGTGCTCTCCGCCTCGACTTCAAGTGTTAATTGCCACGCTCACTCGCAGCGAAACCACTCTGTTAAACATGCACACTCATTTGCAATACGCGTTCACCGAACACGCCATGCTAAAAATCGTGGACTGCTGACATCGCGCAGCACAACTTCAACTTCACCAGAGCATTCAGTATCTAAGCTTCTGGGTTTGCCAGTGCCTCAGGCGAATGACATCACGCACACGCGCGCACGGCGACGCACACAGCAGCACACTCACAAACATTCGGCGTGAAATATTTTCAACATTTCGCGCGGGCTTGCCCATGTTCTAGAAGTGTTTTTTGTAACGAGCGCGATGAACACGTGCATATTGACAGTTGGCGGGCAGCTGGCTGGGTGGCCTTCAGGGGGATGTTAGCACAGCAAACACATACACACACACACAGCTCCGCACAACGCACAAACACACAAACGTACACGCAACACAGCGCACGCACACAGCACACCACACACAGAACGCAACAAACGTACACGCACACGCGCGAAGCACAGCACACACAGACAACGCGCGCGCCAACGCCGCGCGACAACACGCACAACGCACGCACACACACACACCACACACCACAACACCACAACACTAAGCGCGCACGCGCATGACGCCCACGCAACGCACGCACGCACGTACACACGCACGCACCACACAACACACACACACGCAACAGCAACACGCACACGCACACAAACACGGCCACACGCGCACACACCACACACACACACACACACAGTCACATCACACACACACACAACAGCGGTCAGTAAAAGTACCCGCCGCCAACCATGCCGAAATCCACATAACAGTTTTCACAGTTTAAGCGCGCGTCTATACGCGCTAAGCAAGACGGGTTGAAGGCCGCTGTCTGCAGAGTATCGTGGCTGTCGAGGGCTAAAGCCTATACCCTACAACCCACTGCAAAACGCTAAGACTGTGACCTATGGCAAATAATGTCAGCATGTTGACAACAACGAAGGGCGTCGATAGGACGGAGGAAACGATGGATGGAGGGAGACAGAGAAGGAAGAGAGAGGAAGCGTGAGAGCGAGGCAGGCCGAGGTCCGAGAGGAAGAGCGAGGATGTGTGTGCGAGAGTGCGTGCGTGTCTGCTGTCTGTGCGTGCGTGCGAGGCAAAGCGAGGCAAGTACCCACACCACCACCAACCAGCAGCAGCAAGCAGCAGCCAGCAGCAGCAACCATCACGAACCAACTAACCACAACTACCACCACCCCAAGCACCCACCACCACCACCACCACACCACCACCAGCCAGCACCGACCAAGCCCACCCACCGACAGCAGCGAAGTCAAGCGACCATCACGACCACGCACCACCAACCACCACCACCACCAGCACCACCACCAACCACCACCGACAACCAAACACCAACCAAACCTACCAAGCCCACCACCACCAAAACGCAGCAGCAGCAGCACCATCACGACCACGCACCACCACACCACCACGCACCAGCACCACCCACACCACCAACACCACCGACCACCCAAGCACCACACCACCACACACACAGCAGCACCCATCACCAGCAGCAGCAGCACCAATCACGACCGACCTGACCACCACACCACGACCACACCAGCAGCAGCACAGCAGCAGCAGCAAGCAGCAGCAGCTAGCAGCAGCAGTACCAGCCACACCACGACACCACCACCACCACCAACACCATTACCAGGCAGCAGCAGCATAGCAGGTAGCCGAGTTAAAGGCTAGAGCATTACCGTACATGCTCGTGCTATTGACACAGGTGGGGACAGGGAACGAGTGCGCCGCTACATGTACAGCCGCCGCTACAGCCGCCGCCAAGCCAGGCGGACTTACCAGCAGGAATCCCACGATAGAGCGCCCGTGCATGAGCGTCTGCCACGTACACGGCGGCACCGACCGCGCGGGAAGGGGGAGAGAAGGAGGTTACCGTGCAGGGAAGAGAGAGGGAGGGGAAGGCTAGCTTGGATGGGTAGGGGGAGGCTATCGAGCAAGGAAAGGAGAGGGAGGCTAGCGTGTGGGAAGGAGGAGAGGGTACATTGTGGGGGGGAGGGAGGAGAGACTACGGTGTGGGAAGGAGAAGGTTAACGTGCGGGGAGGGGGAGGGAGCTATCGTGTGGCGGGGAGGATTAAGAGAGATCCTTGGCCCACCGACCGCAAGTCACTTCGTATAATAAGCAGATTTGAAGAAGCGAAAGTGTTAAATTGGGGAGACGTGCCGATTACACTGCTCGCTGGATATCGGGGAGGAGGGGGAGGCGGCTACGCTTAATGACGGCAGAGGCGGCAGCGGCGGCGGCCGTACAAGGGGCCCTATGTGTCAGAGGGTGCTACACATACACCTGTCATGGCCGCCGGGCCAAGGAGAAGATGGCGACGGACAGAAAGGAGATGAGGCGCGGACAAACACTTGGAGGCACCACGGCGGAGGAAACCAACGCGTTTCTTCTGCCACATGCGCTGCGTCCGACATACGCGGACGCACACACGCACACACGTACGCACACACGCACACACACACAAACACACACATTCATACACCTGGTAAAACGAGGTACGTTCACTAAAGAAAGAGTTTTACCACAAACTGAACACAAGGCTTTGATGATACCAAGAGCGTGATGACACGCAATTGCAACACGTAGTATGTACACAAAGCAGCAAGGAACAACGCAGGACTCAAAGATCACACGACTAATATTATAAACTACACGCATGATCATCCCTACCTGACCATGCTTCCGCAGAAGTGCAGCAGAAAGCAGGAGGTTGTACGGGGTGAGGTGGAGAGAAGCCCACATTCGTGCTATACGATGCTTACACAACGCTATATAGAAGCAGAGAGCGGAAGGATACATGCGATGTGGTGGGGTAGCGTAGGTCGGAAGGAAGCGCTCTCATGTCCTGTTATACAATGCTTACCCGGAGCTGTAGGAGCAGAGAGCGGGAGGTGGCGTGGGAGCCCTCCTATCTGCCATGCCCTCCGTCTGCACCGCTACGCTGATCTGACTTGACGAGCGCGACGGCTTCCCACTACTGTCCCCTCCGCCTCCGCTTGTCGGACTGCCGCCATTGCTGTTTGTTGACTTCGGTTGCTTGGATACGCGCCGCAGCACCTCGACTATGATTGGCTCGGCGGCGGTGCGGAACGCCTCCACGGCTTCCTCGTGGGTCGCCTTCGTCAGGTCCTGGCCATTCACCTGCAAGACACAATGTGGAAACACAACTTTAGAACAACGCTCCCTTATAGATAGACCTCCCCCATCCTCCACGGAGTGACGTCATCGCCGGGATGCGACGGACGTGAACTCAATACAAACACCGCGAGAGAGAACACATATTCTTTAACCTGAAAGAAAAATCACAAAAGAAGCCCGCTCGCGTCCCCACGCCGCTATAGTTCCCGTCACCGCGTACACGACACGTGTAACAGATAGTACGTGTATATCCGTAGTGCTAGCAGCGTTCAGTTGAAGCCCTTACGTACTTCCACAGGCTAACAGCAAATGCAGGCGAGCCGGAGCGACGGAACAGCGCGCCTGATGGCAGCAGCGATGATAGTGAATCCCGGACCCTACGATGAAGCCCGCGCCGACAGCAGAGCGTGCGTGCGTGCGTGCGTGCGTGGCGGGATGCGTGTTTGATCAGTGAGGGGCTTTGAGTCGGCGAGAGGTCCATCGAGACTCGATATTTGTTTTCAATTTCGGTTTGTTAGGAGACTAATGTAGTGACTTCCTCTGTGTGGCCTGCGCGCGGGATTAGCATTGTGTGGTGTGTGTGTGCGCGCGCGCGCGCGCGCGCGCGTGTGTGTGTGTGTGTGTGTGTGTGCGTGTGTGTGTGTGTGTGTGTGTGTGTGTGTGT